AGACAATAAATGATATTGAGGAAATTGAGAAAATTGTAATACATGACACAAAGCTTAAAAGGTGTTGCACCGCTTCTTTAGAATTGCTTAAAGCAGTTCTTGAGTACTTAAAACAATTTAAGAAAGTATAATGAGCGACAATCATAGGGAAACTAATGAAGGTGGGTTCCACTTAAACACGGATGGGTTAAACTGTTTGCCCTGCAAATGCAGAAGAAAAACTCTTCACAAAGAAACTAAGATAAACAACGAAGGTAAAACAATAATTGAAGATAGAAGCAGTTGGAAGATGGGGAGAGGAATATCCCCCGATGAAAACGCCATATTTAAAACAAACTCACCCGATAATGAAGGTGTTGATACAGCTACCACCGGGTGGGGATCGCGAAAGCTTTCACCAGAAGAGAGGTTAGAAAAAGTGGAGGAGGAGGTTGAACGGATAGACAAAGATGTAACTATTTTGAAGAATAGTTTAAATATTATGGATTAAAATCTCGTGTATATTGACAGGCCATCTTGGCATAAAAAGCCCCCAATCAAAACAGAAGAAGGAAGTGAGCCAATGCCCCCGTGTGCCTAGCAAGTTCTACACGTTATAAGCAAACCATAAGAGTTTGGTAATGACATTAATTCATAATTAGTTTCGTTAAATCTTAAGGAACCGGTTGCATGTAAAGCAATCGCGAGAGGAGCTAAACCTCTCCCGGTGCAGATTTTCATAATATTGCATTATGAAAAAAGTGTATATAATAATAATGCCAGTAAGAGTAGATAAGATATTAGTTGATTTCGAACCATATACTGACACAAATAACATTGTTACTAGGAAGTGTTATCGTTGTAAGCAAGTCAACGACATTGATTGTTTTAAGCGTTGCTATTACGCTGGTAAGGATTCTTATTATTATGTTAAATACATTGCGACTTGTTCTGAATGCTTAGATAGAAGCAGTTTAAAGGGAAAGTGTTATTAATATTAGGAAGATGGAGAAAATCAAATGCACAAGATGCCACAGCAGAAAAACTACAGAAGAGTTCGGGCACAATAGATCGGGGCAACCTTGGCGCACTTGTATTAAACGCAGAGAGAAGAGAAAAGAATACAAGAAAACTAAGATTGAGGATAAGAAGCCTGAAGTTGATGAGGTTTTTGATCATGTGTGGCAGTTGTTAACGAATGATCTGTTTTTGGAGAACTACTTTATGACATTTGGAAAGCACAAGGATAGAGTAATTATTGAGATACCTGTTGACGACAAACCGAAATAAACAAAGCAATTCTTCTTATACAATAATGTTATAGTGTAATTAAAATACATAAGCAGTTACATATTATAATTACAATGTAGTTAAAAACCTTAACGCTAAACCCTGAACCAAATCCTACGAGAACCCCTTGCCTATTTAGACCAATAATGCCACCTTAGAGATAATAGATGGGGTAATGGTTATTCCTAGAATTGTGTTGATTATGGGGAAGTAGTAGTGATATATCGGTGAAGTGTAGGGGGGACCCTAGGAATGATCATCTAATGGGGGAAGTAACAGTGATATATCGGTGAAATGTAGGGGGGGGACCCTAGGAATGATAATCTAATGGGTTGGCGGTGGCATTATTAGCCTAAATAGGCAAGGTATACTCTAACTGAAATCACTAAAGCCTTTATGATGACCTAGGCCGATGGAACTTTCATGAACGTTAAACCCTTAAATTTCAAGCTTATAGTTGTAGGTTGTGAATGGAGTTCGAAGTGCCCTAATCAAAATTATCACAAAAATACACCGACTTATGACTCACCACCTATACTTACTACGTCCTTTGATCCCAAAACCGTGGAGGAAGCCCAGCTGCTACCATGAAAGAACCCCCTTCAGAACCTAAGCCAACACCCCTGAGCAACCCCCCTTCTGAGTCTGTGAAAACCCTTTCCCCTGCATTTGAGCCCCTTGAGCCTTGGGCGCCGGACACCTCGCAGTGCCAGACTTGGCAGTGCCTTAGAAGAGTTAGTTTAGGGCTCTCGCAAGGCTTCGTATAAAGGGTTTTAGGGTCGATGGCTTCGACCCGAGTCCGTGATTCTAAGGATGTGGATAGAATGGACATGCTCGTCCTGATTAATTACGTGCCTCAGAGCTGTGCATTAGAGCCTTCACGCTCAAGCATCAACTCCTATATCCTCAGCTGCACCCTACTTAGGGACTTAGTAACTAGGGTTATAACTAGGGTAACGATACTTATAACTACTTATAACCCCAATTAAGGTACTCTTATAACCTCACTTACCCCATGATCCTCCAAGTATGGTAAACTTCTTAATCCCGGAAGCCCGCAGAGCCCGAGTCCTAAATCCCAAGCATCCCTCATGTTGAAAGCGAGGGTGCGACTATAGATTTCCTGTAAAAAGTTATCAGGCAAAAAAAATCATGCAATACACCGCTCAGGCTTGAGCATTCCAGCCGCAGCTATTTAGACCCGTTCAGCAGAAATGGCATGCGGGATTCAGATTCGAAGATCTCCCGTCATGGGAGATTTGCACGGCCAAGACCAGCGAGTTCTGCGATGAGCAATACCGAGGTAGACGACAGTGCCGCGACTGACAAACAGGCTGCAAAGTCTTCATGGTCCAGCCGCAAACTCAAGATTATGCTGTTATCTGTCACGGACCCTGGTATTGAATTCGAGCTATTTATCCGCCTCGACACCTGGTTAAGCTTGAGAGCATCACATACCTAATTGCGAAACAAAGCTGCTGCACACCATGAAAGAAACATCTCTGGAGACGTCCAAAACGCATGCAGATTAACGATATGACCCTTGTCTCAGTAAGTCGAAAACAATTCGGAGTGTAATCAAGTACCCCGACTAGGAGTATCTTACTTCTAGCCGCCTCTACAAGCTATTTCTAAAGTGCCTTGAGCCTCTGTGTAGAAAAGCTCGGAAGGTCTAGCCAACACGTTCAGGGACACAATACACGCAGCCAGAGCCATCCCCTCAGAAGAGGAAAAACACAACTAAAATCCCGAAGCCCCAAATCCCCTGACCTGCTTCTCCAGTTCTGAGGACTGGGCTGGTTGGGCCTCCTCGGATGGTGAAATCGAGTGTCGACTTGCGATGCCTGACGCTGGGAGGAATCTACTTTAAGGCTTAAGTTTTTCTTTTTAGGGTTTGGTGGTTCAGGGTTTTGGGATAAATTATGGCAATCGCGCGTCGAGCTTGCGCCATGAATTCACAGGCCTCGAGACGCTGTCTAGCACTTCATCATCAACATAAGCCCAAGCAATTAGTTCGTTTGAACTTGGCTTAACTACAATCTCTAGAAACTACTAAAAACCCAGCATTTTACACACTCGACCACTCAAGAAATCCAGGCGACAGGCGACAGGAGGCGCGGAACCCTGGTAGTAGTAGTAGTAGTAGTAGTAGTAGTAGTAGTAGTAGTAGTAGTAGTAGTAGTAGTAGTAGTCGTGGTGGTGGTGGTGGTGGTAGTAGTAGTAGTAGTCGTGGTGGTGGTGGTAGTAGTAGTAGTAGTAGTAGTACTAGTAGTAGTAGTAGTAGTAGTAGTAGTAGTAGTAGTAGTAGTAGTAGTAGTAGTAGTTGTAGTAGTAGTCGTGGTGGTGGTGGTAGTAGTAGTAGTAGTGGTGGTAGTAGTAGTAGTAGTAGTAGTAGTAGTAGTAGTAGTAGTAGTCGTAGTAGTAGTAGTAGTAGTAGTAGTAGTAGTAGTAGTGGTGGTACTAGTCGTAGTAGCACCACAAGTAGCAATCAAAGCAGCAGAAGACGACACATGAGCAGTTTGTCACACACGCCGCAAGCCGCATCTCGCTGTCTCTCCGAAGCCGTCTGTTGCCGCGCGCACGGTGATGGCCAGCACGGGTGGCGAAGTGTCGAGCTAGAACACATCTCTCCATGATCCTGCGTGCATCTGTGCTGACAGCTATAAACTCATGGCCTACGCATGCCAAAACTCGGTCAAAGATTTTGGCAGCTCCACGATAGGCTGAAGCTGTGGAGCCAGGGATCTTTCAAGGCCTGGCCTAAAGAAACCTGCAACGCCTTCAGACGAGGTACATGCTTCTTCGGGAAACGTAGGACCGTCCTTATGCGACGCGAAGAACTTGGCCCAACTTGGCATGAGCGTGGCACTGGTGATGCAGATTGCTGATAATTTTTCTGCAGAAAGCCTAAGCCACTGCACTGCGAAAAGGCCCAGACACATGTAGGATGAGCTGTTATCTTCCCGTCATTTTCCTAACAGGAGTCCTCTGATTTTGTAAACACCCTAAACCCTACATCCTAAACTCAAGACAATTATCAACAAACCCTTTTCAGCATGGGCTTGGATTGCGTGCCAGCGAACAGTCCTCAACAGCAGGGAAAAACCCGAACCCCAAAGCATAAAACCCCAAACCGCTCAAAGTCTTTGCTGCCCTCCTGGTCGTCCTTCTGCCGCTATCACGGCTCAGGCCTGGTCTTGCGAAAATTCGATGCTGGGCCGTTTCGGTGAACCGTACCATCCCAGTTCTCATATATGGTGGGATTCCATATACAGGTCCAACGATGTATCTATCGTTCGGTCTTGTGTGTGTTTACATGTTTGTTTGCCCTGTGTAGGTGTGTGTTTATATGTAGATAAATACATCTTTCTGTATATATATACATATATATATATATATATATATATTTATTTATATGTATACTGTATTTATTTATGTCTATGTGTATGTGTAAGTGTACATATAAAACCATATATACGAGTACATGGGCTCCTAGGGCCTAGGGATAAGACAAATTAGCAAGCTTCAATTGCTAATGCATCCTGCGTGAGCCGAGATCATGCCTAAAACAGTCAGCAAGGCCCACAGAAATCAGAAAGTCTAGACAATCCGAGCGCACCCTTCAACACTGAAGCCCCACACTAGCCCCCCGACCGACAAACGTGCGCAGGCTCGAAGGATAAGCTGCGGCCAGTGGCTGTAGCTCTGGGTGCGCCATGCTGGTCGCCTTCTCACGTGTCTGGTGAAGCTGGCGGCCTGAGTGGTAACAAGGAGAACACATTCCGGCAATCGCCTACAGGCTCGGACCTTCAATTGCTTTTTCTGCGAGTAGACGCCTTGCGCACTTTAGCTTCCACTTGAGACAAGTTGGGTTAAGGGGAAGTCGGCTCAAAGGTGAGGATTTCTCCTGCTTGGCTTGCATTTGGTGTGCCAGGATGATCTCAAAGAAGTGGAAGTGAAACTGTCTTCAGAATCGGCTGAAGGAAAGAGGGATTGTTGTGGATGTGGGCTACCGGCTACCGATCCAACAGCTAGCATGTCGCAAGCTTGTCTATACCAGGCCCAGGGACGAACCTGCCGTGAGGAAAGTGGCCACGGTTTTCTCCAGATGCGCCACACGCCTCATCGGCTGGCTGGTGGCCCCCAACTCGGGACCCTGAACCACTGAACCACAAGACTAGCTAGACAACCCCCAAATCCAGCGCTACCGGCCCTGGTCTGGTTTATGAAAACCTTTGTAACTGTTCTAGCGTGAAGGAGTCCGAAGAAGGGCATCGGCCCTATCGTCGGAAGAGCGTGCCACGTTTCAAGAGCGAAGCCACTGTTCCAGAATCGAGTCTCCAGATGGGTGGTTCTCAAAATTATGCTCCTTTTCTGGAGCCTTATTATACTACGGCACCTAATAAATTTGGGGTACCCAAAAAGGACCACAATTTTGACAACTACCCAGATGTTGACGGATCAGGTCATGCAAGTCGCAGTTGCGGTGGCTTCGCAGCCAGGAGTCGCAACTTCTCTGGAGATGTTTGCTTCAATTCCGGGTTTAGGGTTTAGGTGCTAGTGCTGTGTTGGGATTTTGGGAGTCGTGCTGTTTGTAACCGCGCGTTATACCTACGGCGGTCTCGTTGCAAGTGTCGGGACCTCCATCCAGACAACACCCGTTCAAGCCCCCACGCCTAAGTTCGGAGACCTATACACACCCCTACAAACTACCTGCTCCTGGTCGAACCCGCCTCAAACCACAACCAGCAGAGCAAAGAAATCCATGCCAATGTCAACACCCTTCATTTAGGGAGTAATTATGCCTCAAATCTGCAGCACACGGGTCACCTTGGTGAGAATGGTATTGGAGAGCAGTATTGGGCTCAAGCAAAAGGGATAACGTCAGCTTTGCTAAGCCCTCGGCGCTTCCAGCTCTTCGACACGGGAGAGGCGTTTCTCCAAGGCATGCCTGTGTCTTAGTCCAGACAACTGTATACGACTTTACTATAAGATTCTTATGATGTTTATGAGGGTATTGAAGCGACTCAGCTGCAAATTTTGCGTCCTGCGAAGTGTTGTAAAGGGGTTTTAACAAGAATCTTTGAGGGTTGGGGCTGTGTTAAAGTTAGGGAGTTTTTGGTCAATACAGCAACCATACCGAGGAGAGCAGTCTGTCGGGCATTGGAAGATCCCTACAATGTCAAGACCTCGCAACGAAGGTTCGATGGAATCCTTATAGAAGGGGCTGCTTCCACAGCCTTGCACCTCAATGTGGGAGCCTGCGCCGAGTACGTGCTAGATATGCGTCGTTTCGGGGAGTCAGGTGCATGGCATTGACCCATCTCCACCTAAGCCCTCGCAAATCGGTCAGCTTGCATGCTAGCTGCTTGCTTTACAACTGCGGAAAGATGAAGGCAACAAGGCTTCTTTTGGTTGCATACCTCACAGATCGAATTGCCAGCCAAGACGCAACTGTTCACTGGTAGACTTGTCCTGGACAGTGGAGGTCGGCGAAGTTCGTTGAAAGCAGCCCAGCAGAGCAAATGCAGGTTCGACGTTTGGGGATCTTTGGGGTGCTTGCTCGGTGTTTAGAATTCTGGGATTTCCGAACTCCGAATAACGGCTGAATAAAGTAGAAGCCAGAAGGTTGGAACATCATTATCCTGGTAGCCTTAAGGTAAAAGGGGATTCTAGCACTTATCATCCTAAATCCATGTTCCGACTTTCGCTATATCAGAACCTATCAAAACCCATAAGCCGCCAAATCAAAACTGCAATGTCTGCAACTCTCGCCCCCCCCCCGGCACGCGGCAAAAACCCTAAACTATGCATGGACCCGAAAAGCCCAATGAAACCCCCAAACTCAAAACAGAAAGGGTTTAGACTTTAGAGTTTCAGGGTTAAGGGGTCTAGAGTTTAGAGTTTCAGTGTTAAGGATTTTTTTTTTGAACTCCTTTTTGCTCCTTGCAGATCCAGAGGGGTTTAGAGTTTAGGGTTTAGGGTAAAAGTCCCAAAGCCTCTCCTCTCCCTGCAGACTCCGGAGCTGGCTGCTCTGCTGCTGCGCCGCGGCGACCACCAGAGCCTGAGTTGGAGGCTGCCATTGGGATTTATACCTTAGAAGGGGCCCCCACCCCGTAATAGTGGTATAATAGGAATATAATAGGACCCTAATATAATCCTTATAGTGACTATTACAGGTGGGGGCAGCTTCTAAATTATACCCTATTTTCGGAAACTCCCATGTAGTGTAGGGGCCTTGTGTCAGGATTTGGGGTTGAGGGGTTTCGTTAAAGACCCTAAGGGTGGGATTTTTCATTTTGTACGGCCCCCATACAGTAAGAGTCTATAATAGGCTACTATTAAGGTCCTAATATATCTTTATTATGAATATTATTCAACTATTACTGAGTGGGGGCCGTACCCCAAATTTATACCCTAAGGGTCCAAAGTACTCAATAATTAAGGTACTTGGGCTTAGGATAGTATTTATGCAGCTTTACATTTGGGAGAGTGCATGACTATTACTTAGGCTTCTGGGGCCTATAGGGTTTAGGGGGAGGCTGTCTTTTTAAGGCTTTATGGCGCTTTCGGGATTCCAGGGCTTTAAGATTCCAGGACTTTGGCGTATTAAAGGTCACAGGGGTTAGGTATATTACTTGGGGCGGCTTTGGATTTACTCCGCAGGATGCGCTAGCGTCGCAAGATTCCGGCATATTGAAACGGAGGACTTTCACAGGAAGGTGTTGGCTCTGGCCCTGCTCGTCAAACAAATGAGCTTCGTGACAGAGTGACAAGCAGCCGGCCGTCATCGTCTCTGTCCAAGTTGTATCAAGCACTGACTCAAGAATGGCTTTTGGAACGACTGACGGCATCTTCAAACGAGAAACGGTCATCAAGAGAGGTTTGCGGCCTAGTTAAGGGCTGGGCATTGTGCGGCTGCCGCGACTTCAATGCTCGGTCGTAGCAAGTATTTGGCATCAAGGGCTATCGGGTTTGGGGGCCGGCGTTCCGGGTTGCTGAATCGAAAAAAAGTGCTCGCGACAGGCTCGATACTTACCAGGGTTGATCTGCAAAGAGCGCGACCGCACATCTCCAACTCTAAGCGCCGGACGATGAGATCCAAAAGGTGGACGGTCTTGTGGTCCCTGGGTACCGTGAAAGAAGAGTAGATGTCATCGGCATCTTGTTGCAATCATTGCTGTCACTCCTACGTGTGCATGCAACGACCATCACATGCTCCTGCCGGATATGGTAAGGCAAGGTAGTGGGGTGGGGGGTCGCCGTCGTTGTAGTTGTACTACGCAGCAGCAGTAGCGGTAGTAGTAGTCATGGTTACAAGAGGAGGCGTGAGGAGTCGCTGTCGTAACACGACACTAGCAGAATTCCGTTCAAACTCGATCGGAAGCAGCCAGGCAGCGCTGAAGGCAGGTTCAGGTCTCGCACCATTTCGGGGAAGACCTCCTCTAGCTCCTGCAACTCCCAATGGATCCAAGTACCATTATAGTAGGTATTTTGGGCCCCAAAGTATATGCAATACCATTACTTGGACCCTTTGGGACTGTGTTTGCAGCAGGGCAGTGTAGGATGACTTGCCCCCGGCGACATGCGCAGTTCCCACCTTCATGCCGCCTACATCGCAGCATGAGCTAGAGCATTCAGCCCATATCTTACGCACACACATATAAGTTTTTCTGCGACAGGATACACCACAGCCAGCTGAACCCCTGTACTTGGAGGGCCGATTCATGAGGCGTTCTCTCTTGTGCCGCTGGGTGAACCAGATGTGATACACCTGTACCCCAACCCCAACCCTAAACCCAAGAAGCCTTGAACCTGTACCCGAACCTTAGCCCTACACTCAAGAAGCCCTGGGCCGTGAACCTGCACCCTAAGCCTTTAAGCGCTAAGCCCTTTACCCCCAGAACCTGCACCCTTTTGCACAGATTTGTATATGCCCGCCTGGATCTCAGAGCTGCTGCACCCATGGCAGGAACCCCAAGCATCTGAAACAAAAACCCTAAACTAAACCCTACACGCCTGGTAGTTTGCCGCTCTTCCGCCAGTTAGGACTGTGCCCTAAACCCCCAATAAACCCTGAATCCCTTAACCCCAAAACTCTTAGGTCCTGGGCGATGAAGCCGAAGCGTCGGCCATGAGTTTGATCTCTCGTAGGCACGTAGGAAACGGGCCTGATACTGTCGTTCGGGGCTGTGGGTCTACCAGGACCGTTCAATGGCCCTTTAATGGAGCCCTTATGGTCCTTGCTAGTGGGTATTCAGGAAGGGTAGTTGGGGGGGTCTAGGTAGGATTCTTTTGGGTTTAGAGCTCAAGGGCCTCACAGGCATCTGCCGATTCCATTCCAACTGAAACAAAACAACAGGGGTTACATTTTCAATCAATTACTTACGTCGGGTCGCCGTCGTTTTCAATAAGAGTATTGAGGTGAGAGCAGCAGCAGCTGTGCTTGTTGTTGCTACTGCGTGCTACGATTGCTATGCGCCTTGTTGTGGTCGTCGGGCTTGTCCTGATATCTCTGATAATGCGCCTGCACGTAGTTTTACACAAAAGCCTGGCTTCTGTTACAATGCTGCAGAAGTGCTCTGCCAACACTTTATCATCCGTTGTTGGTGGCGTTGCTCTCCTCATCCTTGCTGCGACTTGAACATGCTTGAAGTAGTTTCGTGCTGCCCTCCTGATGACACTTTGAAAAAACGTCCCGACGCTGCCTGCCTTAAGCGGTTCAGCACCCAGTCGAAAATCTTGCTTTCGTCGGCCTGCAGCTGTGGGACGACTTGGACTTGAGACTTACGGGACACTCTTACGGCAGAAGTGTTTATTGGTCGAGCCCTTTTCTCCCTGCAGTTAGGTTGAAGGCCTGGGTCCAGGGTTTACACTCTCGCAACTCGGACTCGCCAAACGACAGGGTTTAGGGTTCAGGGTTCTTAAGGCTTATTAAGACTCTTAACACGAACTCCAACAAGCGACGATGGGAGTCTGGTTAGCCCCTTGCCTCGTCTGCTTCCTTCTCGTTGCTTTCCTGGTTGCAGGGCTTCGGAAAAGCACAAAAGCAAACCTTTCTTCTTTCCTACAAGAATAGGGGTCTAAACTTTCCATCGCAAGCCTGACTTAGAGAGATCAAAGGCGGCGCCACAAAGACGCAGAAAGCAAACAAGGCATGCTCTTGCCCTGAGCTCCTGGCGCACCATGGTTGCCTAAATCTGAAACCCCGAACATCCCTATGCCTCGGCTATCCAGAGAGGGCAAGTACGATAGGAACCTACTTTAATGGGATCCTTGTCCTTTCGCGAATGCAGCAAGTCAAGGGCTGTAGAGCTGTTTCTTCGCTCTGCCTTGCTAAGTCGTGGGCCTATGTTATTGGCCACAAGGGTTGTTTTAGGTTGTAAGCTGTTGCTGTCCACGAAGTACAGTAACCTACCTATCATACCATCGGCTGCTGCAGCCCTGGCTCTCCAAACAGGCTGAGTATGCAGAGGGCGAGTACCGACACGCTCTGAACCGAACACCCGTCGCTGGCCTTCTGGCTGCCGTCCTTCCCTCGGTGCCACACCCGCTTGAGCGTGGTGCGCAACGGCTCAATGTCCCGCCTGGGCAATGTGGGTTACGGCAACACATTGTTTGATGATGCTGTTGCAGCAACTTCGAAAAGACGGCATCTCAAGCTAACCTCAGTCCACGGAAGACTACCGCACTAAACTTCATCGCATTTCGCCTTTAGCTTCTGCAACCTCTGTGCAGCAAAACCCTCGGAATGCACATCCCGGCACTGAACCTTGCACCCAGCTTGCACCGTAATCCTCAGAGCGTGCCTTCCGCCATACGGCCAGAACATCCCAAGAACGGACGGACGAGGATCAACGCCCCGCACAGCTCGAAATCGGAGCCCTTACTAAGGAACTGCAAGCTAAGGAACACTTTAAACCTGGCCTTATCAACGAACACATGATTAGGGAGTCATGACATTCAAAAGTGGGGTAGGACCGACCGCAGGCACATTGCATTTGCACGACTACAACCTGCTATGCTATCATCACTGCGGTTAGAAAGTTCATAATGAACAAACGCACCTCCTCAACAAATCTCATTGTCATCATCATCCTCATCCTCATCGTCTTCCCCTTAACCCTAACCCTAAACCCTAAACCCTAATAACCCTAAACCGGCATCCCACGCCCGGGGGATTTGAGCACTGCTAAGGCACTTGAATCGGGCATCGGAGGTGACTGTGGCCGCGTCCAGGTTCCAAGTCCCATGGAGGATCCTCAGGAGACGTCGTCTTGAACCCAGAGACTCCAATATCCCCTAATTAAGGAATATTCCTTGAGTCATAGAAGGATCCATAATTCCTTGAGTCATAGAAGGATCCATAATATGATTCAAGGAATATTCCTTAAGTAAGGGATAGTGGAATCTCTATCTACTTTGGCCCCAAGGTACCTATATAGGGACCACTGAGGCCTGTGTATAAACTATTTGGGTACATGGACCCTTCGGCTTACAGTAGAAGCCCAAAAGTTGGAAACCTCATAGCCTCAATCCTTAAGAGTAATGTATAGGGAATCCCAGCACTATTTGGCCTTAATCCGGTTTCCAACTTTACAGGGTTTACTGTAGTATTGGGAAAGCCACTGGCCATTCCGTGACCATACCGAGACACCCCGAGAGCCGACTCGAGAGTTAAAACATATTACCGGCCTTTAGGGTTTTGGTTTAGGGTTTAGGGTTTTTTTCCCTCCTACCTAGCAAGGACGAAGCCCGCAATGCAGGGTTCAGGGTTTAGTGTTCAGTGTAGGGTTTATAGGGTTTAGGGATTAGGATTTCGGGTTTCGGGTTTAGGGTGCTGAATCTGGCAAACGCCTGTACCTATAGTCTCCGTTGTAGTTGCTTTTTTTGGTTAACCCAAATCTCTATTCTGGGGTCCTAACCATAAACCTGGTTAACCAAGTTAAAATGGAGAGTCTTGGTACAGACCTGCAGCCCCTCCATGCGGTGCCGAATCCGGCAAACGCCTGTGCAACAAGTCTTGGAGGTGATGTAGGGGCCTTATAAGTTAGAATAGGGTTTGGGATTACTGTATACTATAGTTAGAACACGGAACCCCCGAAGCCCTATAGATATTAACGCCCCTATATACATTAGACACAAGGGACTTCACGAAAACTTGAGCTCCAAACCCAGATCCCCCGGCAGTGCTCGTGCCGGAGAGTGCACGGTTCGAGCCTCAGTGTTGGGGGCTTCCGAAAATTAGGGGTATCTCAGGGTTCCCCGCTTTGCGGGTTCCTTGAGAGGGCTCCATGAGGGTCTAGGGTTTCCGAAAAATAGGTGTACCTTCTTTGAGGATCCTTATAATCAGGATTCTACTATTTAGGGTACTATATGAGGGTCCCTTATTTTCGGAAACTCCGCCAATATCTTCGGTTTCACACAAGATAGTACACTCTTGTGGATCATTCAACCAGATGGCTTCTTGGCCCATTGCAACAAGCTGTCAAACCCTCTCGCGAAGTAAACTGGATAACTGCCTGCCTCCCCCGTCTCCTCGGCAAACTTACGGGAAAGAGGTGCAAACGGAGCAAACATGCTTTTGGCATCTAAACTGACAGTGCAGCTCAACTTCATCATGCTGACCCCCTCAAACCCAAAGCCAAAATTCTTCGTTTCAATCCTAAAATCTAGAACAACCTTAAGCGATCAACAATAACAAAGATGATCACCAGTTCTGTGGCGTGAAACCGACGTACATCTCCAAGGCTGGCGTTCCGCTGACGTAGTTGAGATAGGTGGTGGTGCCACCAAATCTCACTTGAGTGGCCACCTCTCAGGGGCTGGGTATATGCCTGACCCTGCAAACAGCAGGTCCCTATTTGCTGCTTCTTATGACGCGCTGGGATTCTACCCATTCTATGGGGTCTATATTATTGCCGCATATTTCCTGAAACTCCAATAATGCATCATAAGACGATGTCGATGTATTTTATCACCACAACCCGACTAAACTGGACGTTGAACTGTACTCTGCTTCATAGCAGATAAGATTCCATAATGAAAAGCCTCGGTAAGCTAGGTGTCCCCATTCTATTGGCACTACGCTGTCCTCTGGTCCAGGACTATTCACCTGAGCCTTTGTACATAGCCTATGCGGCTCCCGCTACCACAAGCCCTTCTATTTCGATCTGAGAGTTTGGGGTGGGCAAGCTGGAATTTGTACGCTGGGCTGTGCCTGAATGTCCTGCGGAAAGGTGTTGATGGGCGTGCTTCCGGTTGCAGCAATTGCTGGCACGTCGCAGGCCAACAAATGACTGGCGCCAGAAATGTGACCTTGGACCAGCCGCTTCAGGGACGGGGTTTCGGGATCGGGCCTCACTCATGATGCTACAGTACTCAAAGCGGTAGAATTTCAGAAATAAATCTTCTGCACGGGTTCGACGGCGCTCTCTGCAAGAGGCAGATGCGCAGTGCTAATCTTCATGTGTTCGAGAAGGCTGGTGCAAGGTTTAGTCGACACTTCTCTCGGCACATGCACCAAAATTCCTACCGGCCCTACCAATGTGTGGAAGACTCCCTCAAACCACCCAAACTCGCCCAAGCTTGGCCGCAGAAGAGAAATTTCGGCGTTTGGATATCCACGACCTTCCGTACCAGATGTTCAAGCCAACCCTAAACCCTAAACCCTAAACTCTAAACCCTAAACCCCTAAACCCTAAACCCTAAACTCTAAACCCTAAACCCCTAAACCCTAAACCCTAAACCGAACCAGCAGGCAAGTGACACAGACAGTGCGTGTGAGATGTCCCAGTTCCCTGAGCCGAAAGGGTGTAATCGTTCGTCCCGTCTGACAGCGTCGCAGCGTTGGAACCTCACGGTTTAGGGTTTAGGGTTAAAATTTTGAAGAGTCATTGACATTGATCAGCACAGCTTTCGCAAAAATGTTAGACATCGAGCAGGACTAACCAAACATGGACTGATGCAGTCCCGCGCCTGTGTTCACAAAGGTGTAGGACATAATGGCATTGTTCGAGCCAACGTCAATCTTGAAGTAGTTGTTGCCTGGAGCTTCGGGCTGTCCCTAGAGTCTCCATTGTAGTTCCTTTCTTTGGTTAACCAGTTTTATGGTTAGGACCCTATAATTTTTGTCAACCAAAAAAGGAACTACAATGGAGACTATAGGTCTCGAAGATCCGAGCCGTGCGATCCTTGGAATCATTACTTTGATGCGCCTCGTGATTTGGCCTGCCTCGCATGCAGTGTGGCAATACGACTCCACAACCCGATACTGTGATCCATCAAATAAAGTGCTTGCTTAAAGATCGTGCACTCGCTTTACCAAACACTTCCTTACAGTCTCCATCTCACCTGTTAGGGTTTAGGGTTTAATTAGGAGTTTAGGGTTTCATCAAGTCCGGCTTCTAAAGGAGTTTAAGGTTTTAGGGCATCCGTTGGGTATGACATGCACCGGGACCCGATCAAGCTTGAAGTCGGTACTCGGTTCATGTCAATACTACAAGCGAAGATCTCTTCCCGTGGCTCGTGCCCGGTGGGGGGGAATCCATGACATGATAATCTATATATATATATATACATATATATATGTATATATATATATATATACATTATATTACATATGTAGATATATTATGTGTATATATATATATATCGGATAAACAATGCATAGATGCCCTGATGGAACACTTCTGTTGGCGAGTGATCATGTGCCACATTCGAAACTATGGACACCACCGCGGCCACACGAAGCAGTTGTACTTGGGGCTTTACAGTGGCCGACATGGTGATGTTCAAACGTTGGTGAGGAAACTCTTGTAAGACTTCCGGCACGACAAACAGCTGCTGTCAGCCAACCACTGGGGTTTCGATTTGTGTTTTACTGTTCAAGGCTTTAGAACCTCAGGCTTAACAGTTTGGGTTCAGGGTTGAACACTGAACAAATCCACTTGGAGCTGGAGGATTTCGGCCGTGTTGAGAAGCACCGCGTAGTGAATGCTTGGACCCTCAATGATGACATGAAGGCCCTGAGGTCGCGGGCCTCGGCTTCATGTCGTGTCTCCCTGTTTGAACCCAGACTCTGCCGATCAGCTGGGAAGCACTGCTGTCGTATCTCCCTAAACCCTAAACCCCTAAGCTGTTTTTTACCACTGGCCTCTCACGAATGACAGCAGCAACCCCTAAACCCCTAAAGCCGCCTAAGACCCCAAAACCTTCCAGGTGCTCGAGGAGAGATGCTTCCGACAGCCCTGAAGGTGAGCAAAGGCACAACAACGGTTGATGATATAAATCATTACCTTAAGGACCCTAAAACTATGGGAATTAGATTGGTATATTCCTTATTTTGGGTAATGCAGGATTTATAGCATCAACCGAAGGACCCGACCTAAAACCTCGAGGCCCTGGCTTTTTGGCAAGAAGGGCTCCTACTCAAAACTCGAGCTCCAAACCACAAACCTCGAACTCCTAAAATCGGGGGCCTCAATAATCAGAATAGGGTTGTGGGGCCCATTACACTATAGTTATTATACTATACTTACAGAAAATATTGCGGTAAGCCCATGTAAACTCCCGAAAAGAAGCTTGAACCTGAAGCCTCCCTTTAGGTTCGAGGCGCAGTTCGTCAGAGTGAGGCTGACAGTGTTGCTGGAGGTGTCCAAGATCCAGCAAGAAGGGCAATAAGCCTCAAGTCAACCCTAAACCCTCCTAAACCCTAAACCCTAAACCTACAGTGAACCCTAAACCCCAATCTTGAGTGGATAAGCCTCAAGTCAACTATAAACCCTCCTTTTTGCCACTGGGCTTGGGGCTGAACACGAAAAACCCTAAACCCTCCTAAACCCTAAACCTACAGTGAACCCTAAACCCTATAATCTTAAGTGGATTCGGGTTTCAGCCCTGCGGCTCTGTGATTTTTGCAGTTTCGGACTTCGGGGTTCTCTGGCAACTCGGGTAACCCGGGACAGCAGTCCTTTGCCCCAGACATCCCTACATAGACGCGCAAGGCTAAACCCTGAGGCACGGTTTAGGGTATAGGCTTTAGGCTTTAGGTCTTTGGATATTATCCGGGCTTGCATTGTCGAAGCCCCCTGTAGGCCTCATTGAGGTGTCCGAGGGATACAGTCTCTGTGATCGGGCAACCACGACAAAGCTTTAGCCCTTAAGCATGCCGTGATCAAGGTACTCAACCTTGGGTTCTATACACCCCTAGCCACACATAAATAATTGTACTTCAGGATATAAAGGGATCCTGGTCTCCCCTGCCGGTATCCCAAGACCTAAACCAGAGAAAGATAACAATCCCTGAACCCTAATCCCTAAACCCAGACCTTGAATTCAAGACCTTCTTCTCAGCACTCCTCGACCTCAACCCCCAGAAACTTTGTGTGGAGGGTGTGGTGATTAGGGCTTACTCGCCAATGCCAATGTTGCTCCCTGTTTTGGCTTAATCAGTCAGTTTCGAATGCATAATTATGGTAAACAAAAAGCAACTGCACAAAGGAACTACCTGGGAGAGCGAGGCCAGCTACTGAGGTCGCAGCCCTGAGCGCTCCTAAACAACGAAAGCCCTCAAACAACAACAAACCTCCACACACAGCCAACAACCATATGATATAATCAGTATAAGCATGTATGTATGTACACACACACACACATATATGATCCCGGTTCTCGGTTCACCGAGCCCCCCCCCCGCCCCCAATGGTATCCCCCCCCCCCACGCTCCCCAAGCCGAATCTGTGTGTGACTGTGCAAGCTTTTTCCACACGAGGGCTCATACGCCAAGCAGACCCACGCAGGCAACCCAAACCACACCACACCACAGGGGGGAGTGGGGTAACCAGCCTAAGCAGACCCACTCCCGAACCACACCACACCACAGGGAGGGGGAAGCAACCCACAACCACACCACACCACAGGAGGGGGAGGAGGAACCATTGGGGGGGGGGAGGGGGGGGCCGAACCGGGATCATATATATATATATATATATATATATATATATATATATAGGTATTTCCACAAATATACATCTGCATACTTACATGTATATAAATAAACATATATATATATATATATGTATATATAAACGTACAAAACTTACGAAGCCCAGGGGCCGATCCGAAAGCGCACTGCCGCCTCAATGACAGCGTCACGCTTTAGGGGCTTATGGGCTACTTAGGGGTTTAAGGGTACTTTGGGGTTCTGTAGGGCTTAGGGTTCTTTACGGTTCTTTAGGGTTTAGTAGGGTTTAGGGTTCGTCAGGGTTGTTTAGGTCTTAGTAGGGTTTACATAGGGTTCTTTAGGGTTAAAGGGTTTAGTAGGGTTTAGGCTTCTTTAGGGTTTAGGGTTCTGTTTTGGCTTAGAAGGCTTATGGTTCAGGGGTTTCGTCAGTTTTCAAAGGGTTACAAGCCATAAGTATCGGGGGTGTATAAGGCTTTAGTTGGGAGGTTTTCGTAGGATTTAAGAGGGCTAACAAGGTTTAATGGTTTCTTTGTTAACTGGCAGTCAAGGTCGTCAAAGATTCAGGACTTAGGGTTACTTGTGTGAGTTGTAAACAGGTGTAGGTGTAGGGGCATTGGGCTTTCATTTGGTGGTGGTTTGGGGATTGAGGGGGTTAGGACGTTCAGGAGTCGGGTTTGGGGGTTGAACATGGAGGCTGTGGATGTGAATTCAATTCTCAGAAACCCCCAAAGCCAGAACCCTAAGCTCTGCCAGTGACAACTGGCCTCGTTTTGCGCAGCCAAGAGGCCCACTCATGTCGTAAGTTGAGTCTGCGCTGATGGATACGCACTCCTGGTTCAAAGGGGAAAAGGAGGGACCCTTAATGGGGACCCTTACCCTATAAGGTATATGCCTAGGGCTCCTTATTAAGGGTCCCTCCTTTTACCCTTGGACTGGGGAAACCAGAAGAACGAGCAAGTATATGACTTGTTGTTTGCTATGGGTGACACAGTCTAGGTATATTGTAAAATCTTGCAAGGTATATTACACAGACACTGATTTATACATTTGCGATATACATACTCTATATATATATATATATATATATATATACATACATATATATATATATGTCTGCATGAGCAAGGGATAAGCTAAACCGGCCAGTACGGCACCGTAAAACCAATGGTCCGACGAGCGAATACACAAGTGCAGTAAACCCTAAACCCCATGAGCCCCTTTCAGGGAGCGGACTGAGGTTGCAGCCAAACCTAAACCTCCAAACCCTAAACCCTAAACCGCATGACAGCAGCGAGCGTCCTCACACTCGGCCCCTGGCATGCCACGAGGCTGTTGCAACAGTGTGAGGTATTTAGTTGCATGACAAGTGACACTTCCGCAAAGAAAAACATAGATGTACAATGTCCGAAGCCGAGTTCATTCCTACAGCTGCAAACCCACAGAATCCATTGTCGGCCTAAGCTTACACGCTTTCACTCAAAACCCCGCTGCTAAACTCACACTTTAGAAACCCCCAACCAGCGAACCTTTAGAATATCCCGAAAATCCTTGCTCCTAACCCTGCAAATCTTAAACTCCAACCTCTGGTATAAGCCCGAAGAAAACCTTGTAGTAGCCCCCACAGGTCCGAGGAAGGTCTCGACGCGAGGGTGGCATCGGTTGTCTGGAACAGAACGGGTGTAACAGACCTTGGCCGCAGACCTATGAGTTCAAGCCCAAGGAAGTCTTGGAAGAGCTACTAGGCTTTGTGGTTAGGGTTTAAGGGATCAGGGCTGCCATTTTTAGGGTTTGATAGTGAGGCCTGAAGCCCCATCAGAGCCACGAGGGTTGGGGTCAGGGGAAAGAGCTTCCTCTGGAGGGGAAATCTGGGCTGCAAGAGCTCGGAGATTGATGTGGCTGAGGTGGCCAAGACAAAGCGAGAGAAAGCAGAACAAAAGAAAAACAAAGAAAGAGGGGTGATAGAGAAAGAGAGAAGAGAGGAGAGGGAAAGAGAGAGAGAGAGAGAGAAAGAGAGACTCAAAGTGTAATGCCTGCCCCTGGAGACAGTAAGCTAGGTTCCAGGTATGCCCGTTTGTTGTTGTGTGGCTTGTTGGGAATTTGCTTACTCGTATATATCTTCTACCAGTATCACCAGTGACAGCTCGAAGGCACCGAATCGATGACTCATGCACATCCGAAATCCTTTCTGCATCGAGTAGTCACCTGCCCAAGGGTGCGGTGCCTGACGATGCTGGCATACTAATACCTTAGGAGCCTAGATCACATCGATCAGGTTTTGAAGCCGGACTTCGATCCTGAAGGTGGGATGTTGAAGGACCTTTTAAAAGGAAGGGAGCCCTCCCCATCTCCAAAAAACAAGAGAAGCCTTCGTCGAATCTATGATCCTGGCGGTATGAAGCATCATAAGACCCCCGCGCATCGCAGGTCAGGAGGTTCGATGTAATGCAGCTACACCTGAGCCAAGGAGTCAGAATTCGGTTCTTCTGGACCCTGACAGTCTCATTGCTTAATTGGGGAATCCCGAGACATAGTAAGAAAAGTTACAAGTACCTTAGTTGGAAATAGAAGTAGTGATAACTATCGTTATGTCCCACGATCCTCTCAGTAGGCAGGGCCCATCTCCCGATACACCGACGTACGGCACCGTAGACAACATCTTGGAGCCCAAAGACCTTCACGCAATTAGAGGAATAGCTACAGTCACAAGGCCCCTTAATATCCCGAATCCTGTCACGGAGATTTTGTTTTGTCTGCCATGAAATGTTGGCTATGAAAACCAGCTCCAGCCAGGACGCACGATCGTGGAGCCTCTGCAGCAATGATGCAGCAAGGAGGCATGAGTCCAGCTGTAGTGTAGGTATGTATTGTCGACATTGTGTTTAGCGTTTCCCTACGTTGGGTTGGTTCCCGGGAGGAAGCAGAAGCCCCGCAATGTTGGAGAGATTCAGGAAAATCTGGAGCACAGTACTGAGTATATATAATGCACTGAACCGGTTCGGCGTTAGGAGACGCAAAAGACACTAAAGATTTCGACAGTGAATAGACACTGCCAGCCACGGTCGTCTACATAGGGTCATACCCTGCCCCGGTTTGGGGGTACCGAGTTCTATGGTTTGGATCTGTTAAACGAATTCGAATTCGATCTATCCGCTCGAAAAAAGCGGTAGAGGTAGGGTTCGGGGTCCCTAAGCCCAGATCTTTGGACCAGGATGATGCGTAGGGTTCCAAGTGCCACAAGGGCAACTTCAAGACTTACCGGAAACGTTCCAATCAGCGGACCTAGCACGCCTTGGGGGCATTATGACCACCCCGAGAAGACATGCCTTCGCCGCACACCTCGCACTAGGGTGAGATGGGTTTCAAGCTCTGGGCTCGGGGCTCTACAAATCCACATAAAGAAGTATAGCCGTATAGCCATTATTATAATGATGGCCTTTTATCCCCCACACCCGCATTCCGGGCCCCTTACAGGTTGCACTCAAAAGGCTCCCTTGAAGGAGCCCTTGCAGCAACCCTTAAAGGAACTTTCAAAAGTTCCCTGGCCTCGGTGGCCGCTCCGCGTCACCATGTAGCTGTTGGTGCCGTCCGAGATCAAGGCCGCACCGCGCCCAGTCTGGGGGAGATGCGGATTCTTGTTTGTTGCGTTTTGATTTTCCCTTCTGTGGGGATTGGTCGGCTTTTTTGGGGGGGTCATGATTGCAGTCCGTATCTTCGAAGGTGATCTGGTTTGGCACTCAAGATCAGAGTCCAGACTATCATCATCATCAGCATCATCATCATTACTTTCGTTTCCGGGGGTATGAGCTGAGTCACATATGAGATTCAAGGAGATCAACGAGCAGGCTCCTGATTTGAATGTTGTCAAACAATGGTAGTAATTGTAGTTATAATTGTACCCCATTCCTGCATTCCCTACTAACCAAAGGTAAGTAAATTGCTGCAGGAGCTTCGAATGGCTTCGATGCTCGAGCTCTAAAGGTGTTTATCCAAGCCGGAAGTCATGTCTGACATGGGCGGTCCGAAAGGGAATACCTCATGCTCATTGCCGTTCCCAGCGAGGGCCAAGCTGTCTATCATCGAATGCTGGCAGATGATCATAATCTATGTAGTAACCCCAATAGTGACCCGAATAAAGGACAGACAAACATCTATCTATCTATACATAAATATATATATATATATATATACATATATATATATATATATATCACTCGCACTGGAGCAAGTCAGGAGAGGGCTTATGCGACAATTGGCAATGCAATCGCTCTTTGCGAGGGGTGTGAACAAGCCCATACGCTTCACACTCCCACAGGTGACCATAAGACATAAGTCGTCGTTCAACCAATCTCTCTTATCCAATTTACTGCGAGATGCTGCAGATCTAGGGGCTGGCCCTGGAGTAGCATTCTCTGCATGTTTATACATACATACATATATATATATATATATATGTACTTATTTCTGTTTAGACTGATACGTATATTCACATCTGTTTCTTTTAGCACTCGCGCTCGAGCAAGTCAGACAAATATGTATGTATGTATGTATGTGTATATATATAGGCATACATGTACATGTACATGTACATACACATATACACATGTATACATATATATATATATATATACATATATATATATATATATGTGTATATATATATATATATACCCAGGCTTCTTTCTAGAACCCTCATGAACCGGGACCTATTGGTAGTGAAGGCTGGTCAAGCCGAGAGGCGTTGATGAAGGTAAACGTCGAGAAAACCGTGAGGGAGAGACTGCTCAGGCCAGTGTTGAATTCCTGGGTGCCGGTCGGATTCCACAACAACCAAGATATCATTAGTAGAACCAAAACCCAAGAAATCCTTGGCCGAGCTCCAGAGTCGAAATGGTGCACCTCAGGGGCCTTAATAATCAGAATAGGGCTTTAGAGTGCATTCTACTACAACCATATCAAGGAACCGCCACAATAGTACCGGTAGCATGTAGGCTCCGATAGTGCACTGTAAACATCGTTCCGCACTCTGAGTGGCAGTTTAGGGTGGAGGGCTGAACTCTCAAGAACAGCAAAGCTGCAAACCTCGCCATCCTCCACGATTGCTTCGGGGCTGCGTACCCTAGCCCAAAAGAAGGTTGACCTTTTCAACTGTGGTAGGATTCTATAATCCCCTTCAAAGGTCAACTTTTACCTACTCAGCTACCAAGTTTGTGGTACCACATGCTCGACTATCTGCCCAGGATCTAGTTGCGACTATCAAAGACCTCACCAGCACACGAAAACAGGGGTAGGACTCGAAAAAGGCCTTGGAATGCAACAAGGCCGGCTGCGAATTTGATTCTCGCTAGGCTTTCTGATTGTGATTCCAAACTCTGCTGCCATGTCGTCATCTCAGCTGTTGCCACCCACACGCAAGCCCGAATCTACTCAAGAAGCATCACAGCGCCTTGATTGTCAAGATCCGGCCGGGTGGCAGCACTGAGGCACGAGGAGATGGTCAGGTAGATGGCACCACTGTTCTTGGACATTGGAGCTTTCGGGGTGGACGCGAACGTCGATTTTGTAGTCGTGGTTGCTATGGTTGCTCCGAACATGCGGGAGCTCCTCTAGGACTCTAGTAATGTCTGCAGTGAGACATTGCCCATAGGGTTCAAAACGCAGAAGAGGCACTCCATGAGAACATGGTCGCCATGGTCATGATGAGGGTGACCGCCATCAGCAGAAGTAGCACAGCAACCGGTGTCTTGATTGCAATCATTGCCAGTCGGCATGTTCACCATCGTCTTGATCTTCATCGTTGTCAACACCATCATCATCATCACCATCACCATCGCCATCATCACCATGAAAACCTTTGTCGCTACTACCTTCCTCGGTCAACGGCAGACTAAGCAAAAGAGCAGCAACACGAATCTGCAAATTGAGCGGATCCAACTTGGCATTTCGTGGCATTCCCGCAGACCTCTGTTGTGCTACGACTACGACGACTGTGGCTACGACTGCCGCTACGGAGACTGCAAATGCCAGTACGACAAAGACTGGGCGACGACGACCACGACCACGTGCCATCACCACCATGACCACCACCGCCGCCGCCGCTGCCGCCGCCGCCATCACTGCAACAGTCGCACTGCTCCCCCTGCTGCTGCTGGTAATCGTGGTGGTGCTGATTGGCCCAGAGAAAAAGGCTAGTCTGCTTGCTTCTAATCGCCACCGCTGCATTTATTAAAATTAGTGTTGCTGGCGCGGCACAGGAGCGTGGCTCCGTCGAAACCAGAGCTTCACACGAAGATCTTCGAGGAGGAAATCACGCAACCGAAACTACTTCCAGCCCCGTGCTTACAGCGGAGTCAACATCAATCTTCTGGCGACTTGATGCCTAGCTCGCAATGTAGGAGAGATGGTTCTGCACAGAACTCCCGGCAAAAGGAGGCTACGGTTTCCAACAAGCCGAGATGCTGTTTCCAGTAGGAAACCTGGCGATGTGGGAAGCACGTGATTTCTCACGAACGATGAACCCACAGGCCCCCTCATGACAAAACAAGTCACATGCCTTGAACTCCTTGGGGGCATTTTGTTTTCAAAAACCCAAACGAAACCCCACAAACAACAAGACCCCGAGCCTTCAAGCCGTATACACCTAAATCTGCAAACACCAAACCCGAAAACTCCAGAACTTCACTCTCAAACCTCCAACTTCTCCAAGCAACAAGGAGGACAACGGCCTTAAGCTCTCAAACCTCCAACTTCTCCAAGCAACAAGGAGGACAAAGGGCATTGGCACAAGAAGTAGTCCCGAAGGTCGAAGACATGTCTTTGGTGTAGGTGCCGTCGAGCAATTGAAACTTGGTGGGCGAAGGAGTTGCGGCTTTGGGGGATCTTATGAGGGTTTAGGGTTTAGGATTTGGGGGATCCAATAAGGGTTTAGGGTTTAGGATTTGGGGAATCTAAGAATCTAGGGGCTTGAAGCGCAGAAAGCATGGGAAAAAGTTCAGCCTAAACCGTGTTGCATCCAGGGCTACTTTTGCGACTGCTGGGTAGTGTAGCAACCTGATTAAGAAACCTTGGTCCTTTATTGAGGTTCCTTATATGAATTTTGGTGTTATAGGCCCAGGGTTTCTTAAAGCAGGTTCCTACATTACCCAGAACCCTGAGAGGCAGCTGAAGGCACAAAATCGTGAAGTAAGGCTTTGTACGGAAGCTGCATAGCTCGTCTCCACACATTCAGGGCGGCATTCGGGCTTGGGATTTAGGGTTTGGAGTTTAGCGTTTAGGGTTTTTAGGGTTTAGGGCGTTTGGGTTTAGGGTCTAGACCTAAGAGCAACCTAAGAATAAACGAAAGTGCCCTTTTTGGTTTAAAGCTGGTAAGAAGGGAACCTAGACCCTCAAAAATGGAATAAGGGCCTACTCTGGGTCCTACCTTAACCCTGAAGAACCTACCTTTTTTAAGGACTTATATAAGGAAGTCATTATACGGAACCCTAAAAGGTTATATAGGTTATTCAGGGTTAAGGTAGGGGTTTAGAGTTGAGGGAGCACCCTGGGCTGTGATGGTAGGACAGGTAGCGCATCCGGTCTGAAAGAAGTCGGCGGTGGTCGTCAAGAACGAAGCCTTTGCAATCATCACGGCGGTCAACGAAGTTTTGCAGGAGTTCGGATGACATAAATACACCAAACTTAATACTCAGCTAAGGGCCGAAGGTTTTGATGAAGCATGATGAGATACATTACACTACATTTCAGTTCAATACGCATTTAAGGCCCACAACACCGACAAGCTCAGGCGACAACTTTCAGCTTTGAGCTTCTCCCCAGATTTATAATTTGAACACCTGTTGTCTTTAGTGCCGCTGGGCTTTCTAGATGCATCTGACGTTGAGTCCCAGATGCTGAAACTATTGCTATGTGTAGGCCCTCGCCTGTTTGGATGCCCTTCGTAACGTAACTCTTGCGAGCCACACAAAACTATACATCACGCGGTGCTCTCGAACATACGTGCTGTTGTACACATTGACTGCAGAAATCGAAAGTCGAATAAAGCTCAAGTCTTGGTCCTAACTCCTACCCATACTCACCAACGCAATGACGTCCTCTTTTGGGTTAGCTGGCAACATAACCGGAGTCTTAACTTGTTCTGACTGTAGAACGGCTAAACCGAACCAAAAAAAACTCCCGGCTGAACTCTGCCGAGGGACATGACCAGACCTTTGCTTAGGGCTTCATGATGGGCTAGCTGAAGGGTCTGGGGACTTAGTAAAACAGTTTTTCTCATAGAGTTATACTGCACCTGACATAACCAAAACAGGGTCCTTTTAGGTTTAGGTACTTGTAACTCCATAAAACAACTACTTACTGTGTCCCCCGACCCTCCTAGACGAGGGTTATGAGAAATTCGTATCGACTCAACACTGCCACCAGTGCCACTGTCTTGCCGGTTAGAGTCTCCAATGTAGATTTTTTGGTCTAACCAATTCAGTTATATGTTTATGTTTAAGATCCTATAAGGTAACGCCGACAAGAAACTACAATGGAGACTTTAGGTGGGTCGGACGATAGCTTTTGGAACTTCCAGTTGTCTGTCCGTTTCACCGCACCTGGTACGACTAGGGTCTAGGGCTTTTCTGCCTGAGCCCTAATCTTATGGCCATTGTCCACCTTATAGAAACATAGCCGTATGGGTGGTTGTCAAAAGAGTCAAAAGTATGGCCCTTTTACGGGTCCCTAATATAGTACGGCACCTGATATTTAGGGTACCCAAAAAGGGACCGTAATGTTGGAAACCACCGGTGCGAGAGACGGAGACTTCGGGAGTTGGGGCCGGACTGTAGGACGAGCCTCCAAAACCCCGTAATTAAGGAATATACCTTAAATCATATTATGGATCCTACTATACTTTAAGGTATATTCCTTAATTGAGGGGTTTTGGAGGCTCTGAGCATGGCAGGGTGTCTAGCTACGTAGGGTCTCGGGAGTTCCAGGCCAAGGGCTCCATTGGGCTTTAGGGCTTATAGGGCATATAGGGTTCAGGGATTGTTCCAGTGGGTGAATTTTAGGGTTTATAGGGTTTAGGGAGAATTTCCAGTGGGCTAATGTTAGGGCTTATAGGGTTTAGGGATTATTCCAGTGGGCTAATTTTAGGATTTACAGGGTTTAGGGATTGTTCCATTGGGTTTTGCCCATGTTATGCCCATGTTATGCCCAGAGCTTGTAAAGAAAATACAAAAACCAGAGTTCAGAAACCTGAGATCCAAGATGCTGGACAAACGCCAGAAGGATTGCAAGCAATGCGATCATCGCATCAGACCTGCGCCGATTCCCAAATTGAGGGGCGCTTGCTTCGCCAAAACAACCTCTGAATCCTCAAGCCCGAAACCCCTCCCCTAATGCGCGGATCCCTGAGGCTCAGCATGCAGAAACCCTGTAATCATGGGATCCATTTCGCTGAACCCCGAACCTCTAAATGCAAATCCTTTCTTGTGCAGGGACTGCAGGGCACTATAAACCAAATCCCCGAGCCTGAAACCCTTTTCGCAACTAGCTTGCAACGTCACGCCGGGACAGTTGACTCGATCCCCGAAACCCCTTTTTGAGCACGGGCTTTGGTTGTATGCCGGCAAGCTGGGCTCTCAAGGTCTCCCCGAAACCCCTGAACCCTAAACCCCTAAAATCCCGAAACCCTAAATCCCCTAAACCCTTAAACTCCCGAAACCTCGAAAGGACCTTCCATTAGCAGCGGCGGACATTGACCATGGCTCTGGCAGCAAACGCCGGCATGAGACTTCTCCCTCGGTCTGAGGGGTTTAAGGGTTAGGGTTTAGGGTTTAAGGTTTAGTTTTTTTAAAGCTCCTTTTTAATGTCTACCAGCGTCTAGGGTTTAAGGTTTAGGGTTTAAAGCATTGGGTTTAACGGTTTAGGATTTATAGGTCTGAGTTTCTTTCTAGATTTGTGTGTAATACTACGCTTAGGCTCGTAGTCACCCGGTTCACTCAAGTATGCTATAACAGGAGCTATGCACGCAGATGTACGTGCCTGCAACATATGGTAGCAAGATGTATGATAATGAAGGGGCGTTGGGTATCCTGATCTCTGACCTGAGAGCCCCAAAGCTTGACAACAAAATCAACCGATGGCGCTTTCCCTTCATCTCAACTGATCACTCTCTTTGCCCATTAGTTTTAGGAAACTTGCTCCTGTGGATTCGTCCAGAGACACTCCTCACGTAAAAAGGTAATGAGGGGCCCTAATAATTAGAATAGGGTTTTGGGGCCCAGTATACTATAATGATAATCAGGCACCCCGCCAACTTTAGTATTGGTACTTGTTTAGGCCCCGATAGTATGGAGCTTCACGGGCAATGTCGGGCTCCATCCTTTCGGCAACCTTTGGGATGGACGATTGCGAATGCCGATTGGGCCAAGGTGCGCCCAGAATGCGGTGCTTACGACCTCCTCAGCAAGGCCTCTGACTGGATGTATCCCTCAGCCTAGGCATATTCGTATACAGCATATGCTCTTGATTAGGCTGGATA